CTTGGTCTCCACAAAAACTTTGTTTTCTGCATCAAAGAACATTGTCAAGAATGTAAAAAGGAGATCTACAGAGTGAAAGAAAATACTTGCATATCACACATCAGATACGGATTTAATATCCAGAATAAAGAACTCCTGCAACTCAACAAGAGGAAGATCACAAGCCATTCAAGAAATGAACAAAGAACTGGAGTGGATGGTTCTCCAAAGATCTACACAAGACTAAGAAGCACTTGAGGAGAAATTCAATATCACTGATGACTTAAGAAAGGAAAATCAAACCTTCGAGATACTATTTCCCACATAGTGAGATGGCTTCAGTTAAAAAAAAAAGTGGAAACCCAAATATCCATCAACAGATGACTGGATAAACAAACTTGGACACACACACACACAATTATTCAGACATTAAAAGGAATGAAGTACTGATGTGTTGCAACTTGAACTTTTGAAAACACTACACTGAGGAAAAAAAGACAAACATAAAGGACATACGGGAAAACCTCATTTGATTGTGTTTAGTCTTCCTGTGCCTCACAGTACGTTTCTTTGTGGCAACCTAAGTCTTTTAGCTTCACTTTTTCCAACAACATTGACTCACTTCATGTCTGTATCACATTTTGGTAAATGAAATATTTCAAATTCTTTCATTATTATTGTTATGGTATCTCCGATCAGCAATCTTTGACATAACTGTCATGCCATGAACCACACCCGTTTAAAAAAACAATACAAATTCAACAAAACAAATAAATGGGTGTTCTGACTGCTTGCCCTACCAGGCATTTCCCGTTTCTCTCCTCCCTTCAGACCTTGTTCCTTGAAACATTGAAATTAGAGCAATTAATAACAATGGTCTCTGTGCTTAAATAAAAAGGGTGAGTTAGACACCTGTCTGTTTAAGTCAAAAGGCTAGAAACAAGAAGGCTTACTAAGAAAGATACGCTGAAAGCCAAGAGAGAGCAGGCTTTTATACCAGCTAGCCAAAATGTGAATGTAAGAGAAAGTTCTTAAAGGAAATTAAAAGTGCTACTCCAGTGAACAACAAATGAGAAGAAGGCCAAACAACTTCACTGCTGACGTGGAAAAAAATCTGTGGTCTGGACAGAAGATCAAATCAATCACAACATTCCCTCCAGCCAAAGCTAATCCAGATCAAGGTTCAAACTCTTCAATTCTATGAAGGCCAAGAGAGGTGCAAAAGCTGCAGTAGAAAAGTTTGAAGTGTAGTAAAGAAGGGATCATGAGGTTTAAGGAAAGAAACCATCTCCATAACAAAAAAGTGCAAGGCAAATGCTATAGAAGCTGCAGTAAGTTATCCAGATCGACACTAAACAACAGATTTTCAGGATAGAAACAGCCTTCTTGGAGGCTGTCTAGGATTTTTATAGCTGGAGAAATCAAAGGCTGATTGGTAAGATTCACTTACCATTTTGAAAATCCTAGGGTCCTTAAGAAGGGTCCCCACTCTACCTATGCTCTATAAATGAAATAAAGACTGGAAAACAGCACATCTAACTATGACATGGTTTACTGAGTATTTTAAAGGTCACTGTTGAGACTGGCTACCCAGAAAGCTTCCTGTTAAAATACTAATGTTTATGAAGCTGGTCACTTCAAAACTTTGATGAAAGCACAAATGAATTAGAGCCATTCCCATAACTAATAAAATTTCCACCTATAGCCCATGGATCGAGGAGACATTTTTACTTTCAAGTCTTATTAGTGATTACATTTTGTAAGGTTATAGTTGCTATAGATAACCCCCCAACAGATAAGGGTAAATTGAAAAACTCATTGAAAGGATTTGCCAGTCTAGATGCCGTAGAACATCCGTGATTCACCGAAAGAAATCAAAGTATCAACATTAACAAGAATTTGGAAGAAGCTGATTGCACACCTTAAGGATGACTTTGAGAAGCTCAAGATTTCAATGAAAGAAGTAACTACAGATAGGTAGAAAGGACAGGACACTAGAATTAGAAATAGAACCTGAAAAGGTGGCTGAATTGGTTGCAATCATAGGATCAAACTTTAACCTCTGAAGACTTGTTTTGAATGAATGAGCAGAGAAAGCCATTTTTTTTTTTTTGAGATGGGTTCTACGCTGTGTGAATATTATTGAAAAGACAACAAAGGATTTACAGTATTACATAAATTTAGTTGATAAAGCAGTGACAAGATGAATGACTCCAATTTTATAAGTTCTGCTTGTAAAACGCCATGAAACAGCATCATTTGTGACATGTCTTTCCTAAAAGGCAGTTAACTAGTGCGGCACAATTTGGTTTCTCTGTCATATTTGAAGAAATTACCATAGCCACCCCTGCCTTCAGCAACTATCACCCTAAATCAGCCAGTCATCAGCCTGAGGCAAGCTGAAAGGATTACAACTTGTTGCATGTGCAAATGATAGCATATTTTAGCAAGTTTTTTTTAAAATGTAATAGTTTATTTTTACATCATATCTTAGCAATAGCAAGTGTTTTTAAATTAAGATATGTACATTGGTTTCTTAGGCATACTAATATTGCACACTTAATATATTGTTGACAACTTTGATAGCATGGTGAAACAAAGTATGTGATTTGCTTTATCTTATTACACAGACATGGAACCAACCTGGATTACCTCCAGTGCGTGCCTGAATGCTGTGATTCCCTCTGTGTGATGCATGCATAACAGGCAAGTTCACAGTAAGAGGAGGTGGACTGGAGAGTCCCAGGGAATTGGAGACTGGAGAGGAAAGGAGAAACTGGGATGATTTATGAGCCATTTTTATGGGGTGATGAAGTTTGGAAATTTGAGCTGATGGTTACATAACGTGATTATACTTAACAACCACAAAATTGTATAATTTGAAATGGTTATGTAGGTTATGCAAATTTCACCTCATTTTAATGACTTTTAATGACTTTACATAGAAATAATATAGGGTTTGTTTTCCAAATACATTAATTTAAGGTATTACTTTCTAGTCTTAAATTGTTCAGTAAAAGGCAGTTAGCAAAGATTTCCTAAACCCGTTTTCTTTTTACCACAATGGCAATTTTGGATTCTTTCTAGTGCCCTAATATTAAAAGTACCTTTTATAGGTATGAATTTACTTTTTTTGATTGATAGATTTCTTGTGAATTCATAATTTTCTAAACTCAATTCTTTAAAGAATTAGTATTTTTTATATAAAACTTAAGTTTTACACGAGTTCCTCAATTTCGATGACGTTAACTTCTCAATTTTTCAGGTTTTAAATTGCTCTAACAAGGATTTAATTTCATTGGGTAATCAAGATCCAGAAGTCTTTCACTTTTTATCCAACTATGCAAATAAGCAACCATATGAAACTTACATTATTATTCAAAGGTTATAGTCATACACACATCAGTGTTAGCAAATACCTTAAATTTTCACAAAAAAGGCTTGTTATACAGGATAAAGAAAAAATATGTCATTAAAGTGTGGACTTGATACTACCTTCAACTAGGCCATCACTTCTTATAGCTACATGGTTCATTTTTGTATGGCTTAAGAAAAGACTCAGCTCCTTTCCTCATTTTGGGGCCTCCCTGGTGGTTCAAGTTCAGCACTACAGAGCCAGCAGCAGCCGCCTCAGCAAGAGTTCCATCCCCTAGCAGGGGGGTGATCCACAGGACTCTGCAGACCTCTCCTGACCTGCCCCCTGCTCCCCTCAACAGTGTACTTTGTTAGTCGGCCTGTTCTGCTCCCCACTGTTTCTGGTAAATCCTTTCATTGTCCCTGCATCTCTGGCCTGTACCCCAAGTTCCATATGCATAAATAAATAAATCTTTAAAAAAAAAACAAAAACCTCAGAGATTTCTGGAATATTAGAAATGAGGTCTCTATAATTCTAATTATCAAGCAAGCATAAAGATCAACTGCTGTGCAGTTCACCACCTCTCCTAGTTGTCCCGATACTCTGAACACTTAGAAATATGCAGACTCACCTTTTTTTGAACCAGAACTCTGTAAATTAGCTACGCCAGTGGTTCTCCACCAGGGGTGCCTTGGCCCCCACAGGATGTTTGGCAATGTAAGTGACATTTTTGTTGTTTACCTTCAGAGTGCCAATGGCACTAGTATGTGGGCTCCAGGGATGCTGCTAACCTACAACCCAGAGAGCAGCCTCGTACAGCCACGAACTGCCAGGTCCAATGCCAACCTAGTCTACATTAAAGGTCTAGCCGTTGCCAGTCTTCCCTGAAGCTGCTATCCCTTTTTTTAATGTTACAAGCTATAAAATTGATTTGTACTAAGAAGTACTCGGCTATGCAATATAATACCAGGAAAAGTAAAGGTTACAATATTTAATAGAAAAATGACCGAGAATGAATTATAAAAAGAAATTATAAAATCAGAGATATGTCTGACCAAAAGTTAAAAGATTTTGTTCGACTGCAGATTAGTTTTAATTTACAGTGTAAACAATACAGGACAGGACTGAAAATTAAGAAGCAAAGCTAAGATTCTTGCTATATTCAATACCAAAAAAAAAAAAAAAAACCCTTTTCTATAAAATAAAATTTAAACAAGCAATGAAACCGATCTAATTTTATGTTTAAATTTCAACTTTCAGCACTGTACTAATCTTTACTGGCACATTAAGTCTCCTTTGGAGAAAGGAAAGCATATAAATTAAACTTTGTCACTCCTAATACTTCAGGTAGCATCAGAAAATAATACACCTAACAAAAAAAAGGAAGAAAAAGCATTGCATCCCAACGGAATATTTTTCACAACTGGCAGCACTGAATAGCACTTTAAAAAATAATGCTCTTTAAGATACTCTCCATTCCAAATCAGATTGTCCAAGAAAAAACAAATGTGCTATGTTTGTAACTTTCCCTCAATCTGTTAGTTTCTTAAAATTGGAAAAAAAGGGGGGGGGCAACAAAATGTACATTAAAATCTCAATTCTGGTTCCTGAAAGTCAGTTTAAAATAAAAAAGAGGTTTCACAAAATAAATACACTGAAGCAACTATAATAGTAATAACCTTTATTTAAAATACTTTTTAATCTAGGAAAGCTCATTTTACATGAGTCTCCAACTAATTATTAGAGTCAGAAACAAAGAAAATAAAATCAGAGAAAATCCTCTGTAGAAAAAATACACAAGAAACATTTCTACATGTGAAAAAACAATAAACAGTCTTGACATCTGAACATCCAAGTCTTAGTCTGAATTCCATCTCTCCTAGTGAACACCACTATCAACCTTGAGATCTGATTTGTTCTTGTCATTCTTCACTGAGTAGATGAAATATGTTAAGGTGTCTTTTTCATTCACTGGAATAGACCTAAAGTGGCACCCAACTATCTATAAAGAAAAAAAAAAATTGTGGCAATTAAATTATAGATTATTAACAGATTTCATAAACTAGGCAAAAAGACATTTTGTGAAAAGAAAAAGTACTAGGTGAGAAGTGCTATTTCCTTTAAAAATTACATTGTATTTAACCAAGTACCAACAGGATGAAAACATGATAAGAGGTGGTGTGATATCAAAACGTTCTTCAGCCCACTCAATCAAACCTACATTAATTAGCATGTCTATTTTTTCAACACTCTTTATGTTGGAATCTAGGAAATCAACATTTTTACTTTAAATTTTAAATACCATTATGTTTCATGCAATGGTTTAGGCCCTACTCATAGGGAAGGGATAAGTATGAAGTTGGAAACACACTATGAAATATCTTACAAGTATGTTTGCTACAAAAGAGATTTATTCATGCATGCATGCATTCATTCATTTAGTAGCTGTACTATCTGTTCAGGTTCCCTTAATAATTTTCTGAATGAAAGTGAGATGTGGATAATCAGAGGGATGTTCAGTGAGGTTTTCATTATGCTAATACAACACATGCATTGCAACTACCTAAGGTCTGCAAGGATAAGCTGAACTGTTCATCTGTGGATACAGAATCCAGAAGATAAGATTTTTTTTAAGGAAAAGTTATCCATGTGATAATTAATAGACTGAAAGAGTCATCCAACCCTGGATCACTTGTGAGTATCTGACTAGGTAAACTCTAACATTCTTGGCTATTTGGATTATAGTTATTTCTTGTTCCTTAAAAAAGAAAAAGCTCTGAAAATAATATTCTTCTAGATAGGCTGATCAAAAACTTCATTTTTTTTTTAGTTTAAAAATATATCCATATTTAAATGTAACATTTAGAATAATCTGTTTTTTACTTCTAAACTGTCCCAAAGGCACCATCACAGGTTACTATTTGTACACAGGGATAGTTTCATCACAACAGTCAACATGTATATTTATGATACAGAAATGTACTATACTAGATCTTTCAAATAAAATTTAACAATAAGTTGAGTTTTTGTTGCTTTGGCAAGAAAGAAAATTCTGGCAAAAAAGTTAATATGCTAAACCTTTACAGGGTTAAAAAGCATTCTGCTAAAGAAATGTACCTTTTGTTATCTTTTCTTATTCAGTATGCCTACTTTACAAAATGTTAAAAATTACATTGTATTTAACCAAGTACCATTTAACGAAAATGAATAAGAGAAAACTGATTTATATATATTAACATTTTTATTCTGTCTAGTAAACAATTTTATTCTACATATGATAATAGAAATATACAGATTCAAAGATCTCAATGTGATGCACAGACTTCTTGGTTCTATTATTCTCTAAGAATACACATAAACACACACACACACACACACATACTCAACTTTTCAAAATCCACTAAAGAACTAGATGTTCCATATCAAAGTACACTCCATACAAAAACATAGATAAAAGTCTTTGATATTTCTAGATGTTAGCAGAACATGGACACCTCAAAACAAAACAATCATCAGAACAAATTCTGAAATAATTAAATCAGCCAGTTCTGGGAATACTATTTAGGGCTTATCTGTAGACCTAGGCCATCAGAAACTTTAACAAAGACATCAGAGCTTTCTAATTTGTCTCAACTAGGTGTTCAATAAATATTTACTAAGTAAATGGCTTAAAAACCAACAGATTTCTAGACTGAAAATAAAAATTTTCTACTCAAAGTTTCTGAAGCCAGTATTAAAAGGACTAGCAAGTGGTCCAATGAGCAGTGATCACATAAGAACTCCCTACCTCAAAGGCAAACATTTTAGCAACCAGATTCTTCCACAAAAGATATTTAAATATTCTGATGTCGCCAAATAAAATGTATAACTACTGTATAATTACATGTGCTATGTCAACAATTGGATTAGCATTTAATGTTGCCATTTAAAGTTTAAATAGTGTAAAATTCATACATACCTCAACAAGTTGTGCTTTATTAAGTCCTGGTCTGGTTGGTAGCTTGAAGTGTCTTTTGTATCTCCGAAGTGTATTTACTTGTAATTGGTACAAATCAACCTAGAAAAAATTAACATATGTGAATTAGATCAGAATAGCTTTTGAAAATTTATTTCTAATATATAAAACATTTCAACTTCAGTACAAGACAAATTCAATTCTATTATTTAAAAAGACTACAAAATCAAAACTAGAACTGTATTAAATATGTTAATCTCCTGAGGAAAAAATAAGGCAAAAATGAAAATACACAAGTCAAACTGTATGACTGCATGTTTTTAATTTTGCTTTCATTTTCAGATTTAAGTATTTTTAAAGTGTGTTCACATCTCTCCATAAAGTCAGAGTGGACTATTTATGATTTACGCTTAACACACACAAAGTTTTATCTACCTCTGGAGTATCAATATCTTGAACAGGTGAATCTCCTCCATCATCATCGCTCCCTTTTCTCTTTCTTCTGTTTCGAACACTCTGAATTAAGTTTTTATGATAATCACAAATGTAAAGATGCCTTGCCTGAAACAGAAAAGTTTTATAGACTACTTACGATCACAGTAAAATATGTGTATTAATAAAACAGCCCATAGGAAATAAAGTTAGTCAAAACAGGCCATTGCTAAGACACAAGTTGCTTTCTACTCTTAAATCCCGCACCCAGTGCAAACATACCACGTCTGGCAATACAGTTAAGAGGATTGTGGGGGTGGAGTGGGGCAGGGTGCCGGTAAGGGAAAGGAGGGGGCAGAACAGGATGAGAATTCCAACCCTCTGGGTTTTGTCATCAAACTGCAGCGAGGGTGAACTAGATTCGTTAGGTCACAGGCTTTTTTCCTCTTTCTTTTCTTAACAAGGGGAAAGATGACACCCACAATTACACTATTTGGTAGTTATTTTTTCAACGTAAAGAGCTTATTTTAGTAATATAATGTATGCGTCCTCACCGTTCTAACGTAACAGCCGAGTTATAGTTGATGAAAACTAGCCAGTTTCACAAACGAGCTATTGGTTTCCTGTCCTAACTACAAGCAAATTTGAATTGTAAACTTTTCTTTGAGTAACGTATTTATCTGCAGCACGTTTGTCCAACAGAGCAACCTGAGTGTCCTCAAGTTTACCTTAAAAGTTTTTCAAGAACACATCCGTGGAACTGTTAATGCAGGCAGAACGTATCTCAAACTTTTCAAAGACTTTACTGACACACAGTCTGGAGAGCTGCAGAGTAACTCTTGAAATGGTGAGTTTCATAGCTCAGTAGTTAGCTACTCCTTAAAATAAAAACTAAGGACTGCGCTGACAGCCTTTTAACTTCGAGCCTAAGTGCAAGTTAAAAATATGCAGGGCGTGCATATGCAGGCTCTGACATCTTGTTATTCATTTACCGCCAGCCGGCGCTCGGAAAAGTGCTGAGGGTTGTTTTGAAAAGCTTCACGGATGGTCAACACCACACAGACGTGCAGGAGGACGGAAAAAGAAACCCCGATGGCTGCCAAAATCGGAGGGCAAACCCGGGGAGGCTCCGCGCCCCGCGCGCGCCCCCCGGCACCCGCCAGCCGAGCCGCGCGCCCCTCGCGCCGGGGGCTGGGCAGAGGCAGGAACGAGATCTTTCCAGAGCGCGGGGGCCGGTCCTGGCCGGACTCTGCTACCCCGGAACCCAGGGAGCGACTCCCCGGGGCCAAACGGCAGCTCAGGCAGCAAAACAAAGAAGGCGCCTCCATTCCAGAGGCGCTGCCGGGCTACGAGAAAACTACCCCGGGCCACGAGAAAACTACCCCGGGCCCTCGGCGCGGCGGTCCCCTTTGTTTGGCTTCTCGAGCTCCGCCGAGGAGGAAGGGGGAGCCGGGGCGGGGGCGCGGCCC